TATATATGTATGTATATGTATATGTGTATATATATTATATTATATATATATTTATATGTCTGTGTCTGTGTCTGTGTTTGTGTCTGTGTCTGTGAATATACATGTATACATATATATCTAACATACCTGTATTCATTGCGAACACCATACAGCGAAAATACGAGACGCAACTGCGACAGTGTATACAGATCCCCGGGGGGCTGGGAAACACGGACGAGCTTACCAGCTACAGTATAGTGCAAAAACATATCACAAGTGCTTTGGATTGTCTCACTAAGCAAAGCATACAGTTCAGTCTACTTCCGACACAAGTGGCTTTAAAGGTATATGACTTTACCGGATTTTGGTTTGGTTTGGTTGAACTAGGTCAATGATATTTTATGGCTATTGTATAGTACCGAAACACATCATGGACGCTTTGGATTGTCTGGCCAGGCAATGCACACAGTTCAGTGTAACTCTGACAGAAGTGGCCTATATGGTCTGCGACTTCTTCGTATGTTTCCCTTCTCACCAAAATTGGCCAATCCACCGAGAAGAATTGATCCCTTTAATTACTACACGAATAGTTCTTTAGATTTACTTTTCGGTAATGCTCTGCGGCATTTCCGTGTTGCTTTGACCGTCGGCCAGCTTTAAAGTTTCAGTTATCTTTTTTTTTTGTCACGGAAACTAGTCAGACACACCTGGTGACCACACTCTGCGAATTCATAGTATCGCTTTACAATCTGGTGATCCACTAAGCCCTTTATAAGGTCTTACACACATATTGATATGTGATCACTATAAGTCTCAATATATATTCACCTTTTGATCAAACAGAGTTTGGGGTATCTGTTGGACATACTCTGTGATGGCCTCAGCAGCATGGTGCTGGCGCTCGCAGATATATCAGAGGAAGAGGTATGTTAAACTGTATATATTAATATTTCTTTGCGCATGTGTAGGTATTTTATGCTGCATATAATCGCATATCTGTACAAATTTATATATATAAATATATAATATGTACATATACATATATTTTATATATATATAA